TCTGAGTTTAGAGGGACTTTTCAGGTCTGGTTCTGTAAAGAGAAGTGGCTAACTTTTGAAGGAAAACTAAAAAATTTTCAAATGAAAATTCTTTGGTGCTATACTGGCAGTTTCTAACTTAAATAATGAATGTTTTCCCAATTTATAAATGGTATGTAGCTGGGACGGCACCCCTGAAATCCTGTACCCTAACCCCACTGGACCCCTGCAAGTGGGAATGCAAGAACAACACAACTACAAGCAGCACATGATAGGAGGTTAGGAGCCTTGGAGTCTACTCTTCACTCTGTCATTTTGTGCAAGTCATTTGACTCCTCAGGCTCAGATTACTCATCTATAACATGAATGGATTAGGCAAGGTCATTTCCAAGGTTTCTTTAAACTCTGCTGTCATGTAATTGGGATTTTCTGATTCCTGGGTCAGAGACTGGGCAGGGATTTGGGTGGCAGAGTGTAGGTGGTTAAGCACTTCATACTCACCACCTTTCCATATTTGCATGACTTAGTTCAGATTGAATAACCAAAGGATACTGTATGTTCTCACAAAAATTTTTGGTTTTCTTATAGGAGAACATTTTTAGTTTTATAATAGAGATCATTGAAAAAATCTTATTTCATAGGACTTGTGCCCTTTTGACATCACTCTATCATTCTTTGAGCACTTTATTACTTTCTGGTGCAAAAAGATGTTCCAGCTTATTTTATAGCTAGAGGCCTGGTGCACGGATTTGTGCACCAGTGGGGTCCCTCAGCCTGGCCTGCAGGGATCGGGCAGAAACCGGCTCTCTGACACCCCCTGAGGGGTTCCAGATTGTGAGAGGGCTCAGGCCAGGCCGAGGGACCCCACGCCCCGGGCCTCTAGTCTGCATATAAGATCTTTGATTAATCTCTTCCCGCCCTCCACCTCCCCGCTTCCCTCTGAGGTTCATCATTCTGTTCCATGTTTCCATGCTTGTGGTTTCCACTCCTGCGTTGAGCGCCTGCCCCTGCTGGTCAGTGTGCGTCATAGCTACCGGTTGGACGGTTGCTTAGGCTTTTATATATATAGATAGATTGCCAATTTCCTAAGGAGTCCTGGTTCTTTTGAGGGGGAATGGACTAGGTGTGCCCTTTCATAATGGGATGTTGTTGCTTCTCCTTCATTTGGAGGGCAGAGCTGGGAAATGTATGGTTTTTTTTGAAGTTGTGTAATACCTCTAGTTCTAGTTCACCACTGCAGGACACTTCCTCTCCTTCCCATGTTTGGTTTGTATATTCCTTCTCTCTCTGTTGATGATGCCCAGCAATATCTCTGTATTTACTTATCTGCTCAGAGCTACAGTAAATACAAAATAATTTCAGGATTTTTCACCAACACTACTACCAGCAACAAACCTACTACACAAAATTCTAGATTTCTTTGTAATTCTCTTTACCTTAAGAATATATAGCCCTGGCTGGTTTGGCTCAGTGGATGGAGCGTTGGCCTGTGGACTGAGGGGTCCTGGGTTTGATTCTGGTTGGGGCATATGCCTGGGTTGCGGGCTCCATCCTGAGTAGGGGGCGTGCAGGAGGCAGCCAATCGGTGATTCTCTCTCATCATTGATGTTTCTCTCTCTCCCTCTCTCTTCCTTTCTGAGATCAATAAAAATATATTTTAAGAAAAAAAAAAGAATATATTATACTGAAGATGTACATCCATGTACTCGCAAAGAGATTACTCTGTTATAACTTGTCTTGATACCATCTTTTCCCCTCCCTCCGTTTTCCCCTTGTACAGAATAGATGCTCAATAAATATTTGTTCCCTTCTTGAGCTAGTCCTTTCCACAATACTTTCCTAAGTTAAACTCATTACCATTTCTTTAGTAATTAAGTATAATTAATCTGCCAGAGCACTAATGTTTTGAGCAGTTATATAAGCAAATAAAAAGATAATATATGATATATATATAACTTTATAGCATGTAGTTTTATATAACAATCTATATTAAAACCCAGGAAAATTTGTGCACTCGGCGGGGGAGGGGGGGGCCCCAGCCC